CTCAAGATCCGTCGCGAAGCTGTGCTGAGTGAGTCCATGCACTTGCTTATGCTGGTCCCTGCGGCTGATCTTAGGCAGCGCTTACGAATCGAGTTCATCGACGAGCCTGGGTTAGATGCCGGCGGTCTGTTGCGCGAGTGGGTTCTACTCCTTTGCGAGCAGCTCTTTGACGAGAGCTATGGACTATTCCAGCGAACACACGCCGACCAATCGGGCTACTGGATCAACCCGAACTCGCGTGAAATCCATCGCGATCACTTGCACTGCTTCCAGTTCATTGGGCGATTACTGGCGAAATGTATGCTCGAAGGACAGTTGTTGACAGTGCACTTGGCACTTCCGCTTCTCAAGCATCTACTGGGAGTGCCTATCTCCTTCTCTGACCTTGAATTCCTAGATGCAGAACTCCATCGTCACGCACTCTGGCTGCGGGACAATGAAGGCGCCGAAGCTCTCGCCCTCGACTTCACAGCTCAACGACAGGGAAATGACGGATCCATCATCACAGAGGAACTCAAAGCAGGAGGCAAAGACATTCCCGTGACAGATGCCAATAAGGAAGAGCCGAAAACGAGGCAAACCACAAATACGACAATGGCAGCAATCTTCTCCACCTTGGGAATGTTGTTCCAAGCCTTGATCAGGTAGAAAGTTACCGGCAGCAGAATGCAGCTCATGGTCAACGACGACGAGCCCACGAAATCAGCAAAATCGGAGAAGTGGTCCTTAAACAGGATGGACAACACAACGAGGATCACGGTGATGCAGGTACGCAGTACGATGTACTTGATGGCGTTGGCGCCGCGGTACTCGGTCGTCTCGGCGTCAGTCTCACCGTGACATGTGCAATGACACTTGTGGTCGGCCACGACGTTCGCCTGTTTCATGATCTCATCCGCTGGGGTCGTGGACTCAGCGTACTCGAGTCCGTTCTCGACATCAGTCGACTTGCGCTGTCTGTGCATGCCAAGATTCACAAACTCCGCCATGTAAAACGCCGGGTTGATGAGGACAGAGAAGGCTGTGGTGATATGGAGCTGCATCGCCATGTAGGCGAGCACGACGGCGCCCCAAAACCCAGCGACGTGAGGCCTGTGCTAGAGTCCGGGTAAATGGTATACAAGATATTGCCCGAGATCTGGCAGCCAGCGGACGTAAAGGGCACGACGGAGAGCACGACGAACAGGACCGAGATGATCACCATGGTGAAGGTGATAACTCGAGGCATGCGTTGCGGCTCGCTGTGCTCGCGCTGCAAGTCGGGGATGATGATACCGGCGCCGTAGCTGAGAGCGAGGTTGCCGAACGTGCCGGCCACCTGTGAGAAGCTGACTTTCGTCTCCGAACCACTAGGATGGCCACGCATACCGTGCATCACAACTGCAACGCCGATCACGTCAGCTACAAGTGTTCCCACGCAGCCGGCAAACGCAACACCGGAACCTTCTTTCAGCGTCGGAACGAGACACAACGGCAGCACCATCGTAGCCATCAGGATAATCCACACCGTCGGACTGAACGCACCTGGGAACATCCCGTCCAGCAATCCACCGCCGAGTACCAGGAAGACGCACGGAATCAAGACACACGAAATGATTTGGGAGCCTGTGCATAGCCAGCGACCAGTCTTGCCCACGGCCCATTCGCCAAGGTCACCGAACGTCACCACAGTCGACGGCGCAAGCAGCATCACCTTGGACATTGCAATCGACGCGTAGACGTTAGCGAACACCATAAAAGCCATAGCAATACTTGCGAACACGGGGCCTGCACGAGCAAAGTTGCCCGGCAGACCGACCGTGCCGATGCCACAGACGCAGCAAAAGAGGTTAAAGAAATCTTGATGTCCTCAAGCGTAAAGAAAGTTTCCTTTGTCATGGTGGATCCGATGGTGGAACGCGAAGTGAGTGTACCATGGAGTGCGTCGAGTGGTGTCGTAGCGGCTACGGTACGGTAGCCATCCAACGATGAAAAACATGCTTGGACGCCCACGTCCAGTCATGCCCACGGCTGGCCATGGGATAATGACGAAGGGCGCAACTCCGGTGTTAGGCCGGTTCCTAACGGGATCACGACGGAGCATGATCCAGTTAGGGTTAAGTGTACGTGCAGATCATGATTAATTCACTCTTAACGGGATCGTGACCCTTCGGGTCACGAAGCACAGACGTTTTGCTTCAGCAACACAAACCGGTGTGCTCGAGGTCTCTCGTTTAGCATGGAGTCCGCCGTCTCGACGGTCGCAGATGCCTCCACTAGTAGTGGAGCTTGTGTGAGCACACACTGGACTGCTGTACAGAAGGCAGGCAGCAAGCGCACAGTTCCTCCGCCCTCGTCGGACGACTACAGCACTTGGACGGTAGATCAACTAAAGTTAGAGTGTACCGCGCGTAAGCTTTCTGTGGCGAAGAATACTAACAAGGCCGATCGAGTTACTATCCTTCAGGGGTACGATGAGTCCCAGAATGCCATGGAGCTGCTACTGGACCGTCAGCGGCAGGCCAAACGTGGTAGGGGGCCTTCTGCAGAGACCACTCAACGCAGAAGCAAGCACTGTTTGTATCGCCTGCTCAACGTACTCTTCTCTGAAGATTTTTTCGAGAAATTTATCACATCTGGTGACGCACTTACACGGCGTGAGCTAGATGAGGGTGGTCGGGAGTTCTGGGAGCAGGTGGCCGAAGCTTTCAGTACATTCAACGATGACGAATGCTATAACATTCATTCTATAGTAACGATCAAATTGTCCTTCTTGCACTAGTCGATCTCGATGCGGCTCCCACTCCAAACGTTTGCGTGAAACAACGTTCGATCTACGTCGACGACGTAATTCGCTCACAGCAACTACAACGGCGAGACAGACCGCAACGCGAGATACTTTCATTGTCTTTCTCTTGAATGGTGCCCGTGACCCTGATCCCAAAGCGAGTTATGATCCCAATTTGGGATCATCGATTGTAACTAAAAATAAACATATGTATTTTTTAGCCAATCAGGTATCGAGTTTGTAGATCATGATCCGATGATGATCCCGTTAGGAACCGGCCTTAGAGCTTGGGTCTCAGTGTTATAGTTCAGGGCAAAGCATGCTGCAAAAAATGCGAGAGGAATTGCACAGAACCTGAGGAGTTAATAGTACTAATAACTCCAAAATCGGTGAGGCTAATATTGTGAAAATATCACGTGTTGACCAGTTAATATAAAAAAAACACCTAATCATTTCTTCTGAGATGAAATGATTTTATTAAGACCGTTGTTGCAGGCACTGAATCGAGTGTACATAATCGGGGCGTCGTGTTACCCACTGAGCGGCACCATAGGCACCTGCGTGCCTTAAGGCACTTTATTTGGTGCAAGAACCGAATTCAGAAAAGGGGGGGTTAATATAAAAGAATACATTTAAAAAAAATCCTAAAATTTAGAGATTGCGATGAGTGGTGGTGGTAAATTGAAATACAAGGTGTTACGCGAAGGTTGCACAGTTTATAAAACACATTGTGAATGTTGATCGAATGTACAGATAGCTTAGTGATTTTTTGGACATTGGCTTCCAACCCATTTTATGGAACGCCTATA